GAAACGGTAGCGAAACAGGTCAGTCTAGTTATCAACGAAGGCAAAACCAAGTACATCTTGGTTACTAAGGATCCTATAGCAAATGAGGAACAGGAAACAGTAGAAACATAAAATATAACGCAAAAGGCTGAAAGACTTTTGAGAATATTCGAGCGTAAAATACTCCGCAAAACATTTGAAGCTATAAACGACCAAGGGCATAAGCACAAAACATATAACGTTAACCCTAAAATGCGCAGTTTTTTTCTGAGTTTACCTATAATTATTAAAAAAGAATAAGAAAAAAATCTATGTCAGATGAAAACATTTATATAGAAAAAAGTTCCCATGTATCAGATTTGCTACATCATGTAAATATGAAATAAAAATCAGTTCTTATGAAAACTCATGAGACAGTTATTATTATTATTATTCAAACAGAAGTGTAAGCCGCATTTAGGTCTTTTGCATGAAGTCGCCCTCTTTTAGTCGTGATTGAAGAGCTTTGATTACATAAGCAATATGCAATATCTAGATAAATTGAGAAAGATAATTTTTCGACTGTTCTAACAACCATTCAAATTTCGTCATTTTGTGTCATGTGGAACAATTTCACCCAATCATGTCAACATTAGACTGATAATTGCATTCAGTGCAATTTTCAATCCCTATGACAACACGATCGAGTTTGACAACTTCATCCAAATAAATTTCAAAATGTCACGTTTCGGAAATGAGAATGTTAATGCTAAAAATTACTGGTCATGGCAATCAGAATTCTATAAAACCATATTTGAATCTCGATCAAGAACACCACAAAAAGATTATAAATATTATGCGTGGTAATAGATCTTCTATAGTAGAGAACAGCAACGAATCTAATGTTAACTTACATTTTAATAATTGTACTTTCACTAACTGTACTTTTAATAAATAAATGTTTCGTTATGTTGAGTTATGATTATTTTTTTCGAAAAATTATCCGCCGAATATCCCTCGGACATTGATGAATTCCTCATAATTTCATGACAAATTTCTCAAGCTCGTTGCTTGGTAACAACACTCAGCATTCGGCTTCGTGCTGTTACCAAGGAACGAGCTTTCGATTGTCATGAAATTATCTCGTCTGTTATCAATGTCCTAGGGATATTACTACTGATAACTAAATTGTTGCCTCCACTACTTTTTGTGACTTTCATATATAACAGCCAGGCTTATTATGTCCATATCAATAAAATGGTAAAAAATCCGTGAATACCATTTCCTATAGCGTATTTTCATTTTATATATACTTAGCAATTCCTCTAGTAAATCGACGCCTTCCATGTGTCTATTATACTATGTTACTAAATTAGGATATTTTATTTAAATCAGTTTCTTTTCTTTTTTAAGCAACGCAATTGCTTAAAACCAAACCACAGAAATCTTCTTCTTAAGGTGCCTTCTCCATTACTGAATGTTGGCTATAACTATAGCAAATGGCTCTCTATATTGAGCTTAGTATCTAATGTGTGTCCATGCCTGTCCAGTCTCTTACATTCTTCATCCAGGAACATTTTCTTCTTCCTGGACCTCTTCTTCCTTCCCCTTTCCCTTCCATTATAAGTCGTAGGAAGTTGTATTTTTCTCCTCTGTAAATATGTCCTAAATATCTCGTTTTTCTATGTTTTACAATATTTAGGAGTTCTCTCTCAGTATCCATTCTTCTTAGCATCTCGTTGTTGGTCACGTGCTCTGTCCAAGAGATCTTCAACATCCTTCGAAAAACACACATCTCAAAGGCCTCATATTTGTAATTGCGAGAGTCTATGAAATTTATTAAAACACAGTGAGTTAGATGAGCTGGACACATAATACGAACTTCAGCAACGCGACTGCTTAAAAAAAATTATATTGATAATTTTAACCTTTGAGATCCAATACTGATGGGCTGGAATGTTGATCATTTATAACATTTTCGCCTTATTGAAGCGCAGAGGATAGCCGAAGCGAATTCTTTTTTGGCCAATATTTATTTGGAAAATTATCTGTACTTAGGGTTACTATATTTAACTATGAAATACTATTAATTATGTAAATCCCCTCGCCACAAAAATATATGTATATATAATATAGAAGAATGTTATAATATAGAAGCACTATTTCAGTTACATTTAAATGTACAGCCCCAATAAAACATTGATTCTCCTCATAGTAGTGCCATCTATGGGTCACTCAATGGATTATTTATTTCATCAGCATATTTCAAATATTTTTTAATGTTTGATTTGTCCCAGCTACTCCTTAAGAGAGGAAAAACAACCCGACAGAATAGTAATGCAAAAATTTTGATATATTGGATAGAATAAGATGGACATGATAAAGAGCAAGAAGATGAAGCAAGTATAATTATAGCTAATAATTCATGTTCGTGAAGATCGTTAGACTGGTTAGACATTCAAACAACCAAGACGCTGGTTTGAAATTTGATTATCAATATTTCAGAATTTCTTTACAAACACATTAGTGTAACGATCATAAAGTCATATGATAGAAGAGACCAGGAAGATAGAGAAATGCAAATACAATAACAATAAAAAATATTTTACAGAGTCCAAAAGAAACACATTAACAACTAATAAGTAGGTAATCATAAAAGTTATAAAATAATAGGGAAGGTACAAATATGTGCTGTGGCAATATTTTCGGTACAACTTTCGCCATCTGTTAAGTAACACGATATTTTTATGAATGTTAGTAGGTATATAAAACTTACCACTAATTACAGATTCCTTCTTCTGACATACACAGTTTTGTATTGGCGATGTCAAACGAAAGAGGCGGCACGGTGCGGTAAAATTTTGAACTGGTGCACGTAGGATAACAAAACATTTTGTATTTAGTTCTACACACATAACATAGTTATAAACAGTTTAAATATTATTAAATAAAGCACAATAAGGTAACAAAATGTTAAAAAGTAAATGTAAACCGTATTGCTTTGCACCGCAATGCAGTAATTATCGATCGGAAGGAATAACTATGCACTTTTTTCCTCGTGACAAAAATCTATAAGATCGTTGTGCACAGGGATTAAAAATTGGGAAATCGATATCAAGTGATATGATGGTGTGTTCACAGCATTTTTTATCAACAGATTTTTTTTCAATTAAATTTTCTGAACAGAATTGCAACATTTATTATATATAATGTGCCTACCTACCCTAACCAAATATATACACTAAAATAGATCTTAATTCAAATTTTTCTGCAGCAGGGCAAAATAAATTTCGAAGAAAGGTGTTGTTCCCTCTCAATGCCTTCTTAAAGGAAAACACGAAAGAAAAATCAATGAGGAACTGGTGAATGCTAGACTAATGCGTAATAAAACACGCACATTCCTCACTGGCGGGCTTTACAAGTCCATTTTGCCACCCAGACTCATCTCTTAACACATCCACAGTGATTTCATGTGGGGCACAATTTAAATTAGTCGTTTGCACACACAAACTTACTAATTTGTTATTATTTGCCACACAACACAACGTGGCCAGCCTTTAACAAGGCCTCGCTTTCTTTTAAAGGTCTTTTTGTGTCTCCTATATATTTCAAAATATGGAGCAGACTAACTTCAATTTCTTTATTTGCCATTGCGTTAATAAAAAAATAAATGAAAGGTAATAAATACGGATAATTTTTAGACACAGCAATCATTCACCTACAAAGATTATGGTAGCTCCGTTTTGTTTTCCTACGTGCGTGATCAGCTGATCATCTGTCAAAGCGCCCCCTATAGTTCGTTGACATCGCCAATAGAATGAGTTAGTATTTTACCTTTATTGTTTTGAGGAATTTTTCAGTTGTGATTGTTTTTATCTTTCACTTAATGAATATTGATATTAAAATTGATTTTTAATAAGTTTTCTAAGATTTAAAATTATATTTCAATATACTGTTCATAGTTTCAAAATATTAATAATAAGGATAGTGACAAACATTTCGGATTTTTAGACAAATGTTTTCTAAAACTTCTTAAAGCTGATCCAGTTTCTGCTTTATAGAAAAGAGTCGGGTCAATTATGAGTCGCTTGTCTAAGAAACTAAATATTTTAGCTTTGAAAACTAAAACGTTCAAAAATTGTCGGTAAAGCTAGGATTTTTTATTTTGGCCTTTATCTCCTTTATAGTGATACCTTCACCCATTTTCTCTTGAAATGGGAAATTGGGCTATTTTATTTTTATATACAGATGATTTGAAATTTCAAAGGCACTCCAATTCTCTATATATAGTAATAAATTTGATGGTTTTTTCATTACCCCAACGATTAATAAAACGATTAATTTTTCTCACCAACACAACAATTTTGGCAATTATCTGCTAGCTACTGGCATACCCGTAGCGGTATAGTCCTCTGGCGGTAGCGCGCGTTCACACATACCAGTGATACTCCCAGGCATGCGCTTTGCATTTCACAGTATGCTACTAGCAAGAAAAATCAAATTCTTTGCGATTAGTTAGCATGCCAGGAACTAGTATGCCAGTTAACGTACAAACTTGACAGTTTGGGGAGAGTAGCTGATGCTTGCTAGGTACTAGTATGCCATTGTGCTAGTAACAGGCATGTGTATCTCCAGCTGATCTCGTATGGGATCTGCCTGTGGCTCTTTAATCCTCCACGCCACCCTGTATCGTCTGCTTTCCAACTCCTTTCTTCAAAAAATGTGTAGAAAATAGGCTATTATTTGCTCTATCCTTAACCTTTTCTTGATTTTCAGTTGTTCCAGTAACAACATATTTGTTTGTAGTTATGTCAAATATTGACCATATTATTTATAAGACAATTAATTCACTATATCACTCTGATCTCCAACGTCTCGGATAAAGCAAACATATTTCATTACATAACAGTCAAATTCATCACATATTTCATTACATTCGGGCAGGATTTACCCATCGGATCAGATGATATCAAGAAATATCAATTTTTTTTGTTATTTTTGGACATTTTTCATACAAACTAATTTTTAATATTATCTTTTAGAAACATCATGTGAAGAGAAGCTAAAGAAACCAAGAAGAAATAGAACAACTTTTACAACAGCACAATTAGCAGCATTAGAAAAAGTTTTTGAAAAAACACATTATCCAGATGCGTTCGTCCGAGAAGATTTAGCAACTAGAGTTAGCCTTAGTGAAGCCAGAGTACAAGTAAGTAGACCATGTTTTAAATATGGATTGCATTTTTATATAAAAGTGGGAGAACATAACAAAAGTCACAAAATTTTAGAATATCTAAAACATATCTACATCTAATATTTAATAATTTTGTTACTTATACAACAGCAATTTGATCCACGGTAACATATACTAATACCATACCGTATACTTGGAGGAAGCCGGGTAATCACTTTTAACCAGATGATACCTAAGTATAAGTCCAAAATACCTTTCCAGGTGAACATCCGCCCATGATATGAATATAGCAAAGCAAACAAGGTAGCAGTGTTACACCTGATACACAAAAAAGTACAAAACCGTAGAAGCGTCGGCTACAGAAATTGTTAGTGGTGGAAATGTAAGCATTTCCTACCTTTTTATTCCAGGTAGAGATTGATGCAATCTCGCATTTTGCAAGAGAAATCAACAGGAGGGCTTTTAAACTTAAGTGTATCAATGTGGTCAATGTATCAATAATCAAACGACTATGAGAGCTACTAGATGTCACAAACAAAATCTAAGCTAGTGTGAGAATGCCGAGAAGAATCCTGCAAACTGGCGGAACATAACAGTGTCACAATGGTATGGGTGCCAGATCGTCGGGGAATACACAGCAACGAAAGAGCTGAAGAACTTAATAAAATAGGATCTGCTACAAAATACTTCGGTCCAGCATTACCCTTAGGGGTGCCAAAAACTACCAGATGAAAGCCTGGATCCAGAAACAACGTAACTCCACTGTAAAGGTATACTCTTATCAAGACGTGGCAAAATGTCTTTTCGATAGACATAAATATATTAATGGGATTGACAAAAAATAAGCATAACTTATTTTCGAATCATAAAAGGTTTCCTTACGAGATATGCGCCAGTTAAGGGGTACCTATAGGTAATGACGATATTTTATAGGGACTTAAGCTACAGACTATATGACATATAACCTGAAACTAGCATATAGTTAAAGGCACTATATAAAGGTATCAGACATATTGGCTTAATGTACTGTGATGGATAAATAAGAAAATAAAAATCAGAAACATACGTTTTCGGAAGCAAAAATGATTCCCTAACAAAATAACACCAAATAAGAGAATAATGGACAGAACGAAGATAGGATGGGGATAGTAATCGAACGGTAATCGAAATATACCTAATCAATATGGATATAAAAAACATGTGACAGAACGTAAAAGAGAAAAATTTGATATTTTTTTGTACACATTTGTATTTAAAAAAATTTAAGAGGTATATTAATAAAAACCTTTTCAGGTTTCGGCTGATATAGAAAATATATTATTCTCTAAATAGAAACCCTTCGGTTTTCAACTTTCATAAAAGTTATGATTGTAGGTAGGCAACCAACTATACAGATATCTGATTCAATGGTGAAAAGCTTAAATTTTTTATAAAATGCCCTATATGTTTTATCAACATTTGGTACCTGAAATATTGAGAGCAAATATGTGCAGGATTTTATGGTTTTTTAAATATTATGAAGTGAGATGTTAATAGATTTATGTAAGCGTGTATTTGATATAGAAAGTGAATTGAATAATTGGTGGAATATACCTACTGCTGGTATATTACTCAACTTATAATTTAATAGAAAAAGAGATAGAAAGAGTCTATTGAGAGTGACATGTGCATACAGAACAGTCTCTGCCGAGGCGCTGGAAGTTATCAACGGGTGTATTCCGATGTACGTGCTAGTGAAGGAAAGAGCAAGAATATACGAGAGAAGAAATGAAGACATCAACAGAACGTTTAATAAAAAAAGAAAGTGAGAGATCTATGTGAGGCGATGTAAATGTGAGGCACGAGCCAAGATCACAATATACTTACGTTACACAAAACCAAAATTATATGGAATCATCGGATATTTCGTATTATTTTAAAAAAATTTAAACAAATCGACATACGAAATTAAATAAGATTTATTTTAAAGCAATTTAATCACCAATACAGAAAAATTAAAGAACACGATAAATTCTTGAAATAATAAATTGAAACTGTTTTATAATCAATAGCATGCAAAATTTCAATGTAAAATCAGAAATGTTTAAATTGTTTTTATTTATTTATGTTTTTGTTTGTACTCAATGTTACCACACCTAGTCCTAATGCTAGCTTCAATTCGCGTAGGCATACGACATGCTAATTACACGGCATGCGACTCCTAAACAAATGGTCAACATTTTGTTGTGGTAGGTTGTTCCTTTCTTCAAGAGCAGCCTATACTATAGCTGTGCAATGTTTTGTGGATTATCCCAGCGAGTTATAATTGTTCTGTTAAATAAAAACCTATTTCCACAAATACTCTATAGGGTTAAGTTCGGGTGAGCATGTAGGCCACTCCAGAATAGTGATATCTTTTGCTTTAAGGAAGTCTGTAATCATTCTGCTGATACGTGGAGGTACATGACCATGCATGAAAATAAAATTTTCTCCCATTATTGCTCTTCAGAGCTTAACTACAGTTTCTTGAACCAAATCAACATATCTGTGAACTGTTAAATTTGGTTGTTTTTGGAGTTTTTTCACCGGTCATAATTCCTCCTCGAAATATGACCCTTTCTTCTTTATTTATGTAAACAGATCTGGCAGTTTCCGTTATTGTTTATCTTCCTCGCCCTCTAAGTATACGAATTCGTAAGTCATTTGATTTTACACAAGTCCTGGTTTCGTCTGAAAATAGCACATTTTCCCAATTTCCAATGTTCCAGTTTTGGTGTTGAAAACAACAATTTAGGTGATCAATCTTGTGCTGCTTGGAGAACTCGACAACCCGTAACTGTCTACTGCTGTATAGTGCTTGGGCACGAAGTCTTTTTCTTGTCGTTTCAACTGACAACATTAACACCTACAGCTTTTGGTAAAAGCTGTAGGTGTTAATGTTGTAAGTAAAAGTTGCATTTGGAGCTGCTGGTGTGAAATTATTGGGTCTCTTATAGCTACATACACAATGAAACAATAGTGGAAAGCGGTTATTACGTTTTGGCGACTTTGTCTTGGTCTATTCCAAAACATCCCTAATTCCTGATACCTAGAATAGCTTTTTGACACATCATAATCATTATCAACCTGTATGCGTAACCACTGCTGGACATAGGTCTCCCTCGGCTCTTTCCATCTCTCTCTGTATTGTGCGGTTTGCATCCAGTTATTGCTAATACGCTTCAGGTCGTCAGTCCATCAGTTAATGGGAGTCCTCTGCTCCGTATTGCTTGACTCCACTCTAAAATACGTTTTTTCCATCGGTTGTCTGATAATCTGGCAACGTGTCCTGCCCAATTCCATTTTAACGACGCGATTTTCTCGATAGCGTCTGTTGTTTTTGTTATACGATGTATTTCTTCTTTTAGGATTCGGCCTCTTAGAGAAACACCGAACATTTGGTGCTCCATAGTCATCTGAGTCACGCGAATCTTATTAACTACCTTTTTTGTGAGTGTTAATGTTTCCGCCCCATAAGTGAGTACAGGTAACACACACAGGTCAAAGATTTTCCTTTTGAGGCATATGGGTAGATCCGATTTAAATGCATAGTTTAATTTACCAAATACTGCCCAGTCTAATCCTATGCGACGTGGGAACTCACATGTCTGGTTATCTCTACATAACCGAATTTCATGTCCTAGGTACTTATACGATGTACTCTACACAATATCCCTTCCACCAACAGCAATATTTCGATTTAGCACAAGATCATTATTTGCGTCTTGTTCATATTAATCTTTAGTCCGACTTCCAAGGAAACATATATAATTAATAATAATATATAATTGAGCTTCTCTCCATTTATGTTGACACCATGCTCATTTAGATGTGCCTGCTTACAAGTATGTTCTAAAAGCGTCGTGAATAATCTCGTTGTGTTTGGTAGATATATTTAATTATGTTAGTGTAGTGTAAATATCAGTGCCAATGGTTTGTTGTATTCTGCAGACTTCTCTATTAGGTTCTTTATCACTAGCAAGTGGTCGTTAGTGCCGCATCCTGATCCAAATTCAGCTTTTACGTCCCTTTTTTCCTGGTTCCCAGAGATTGAATAAATAAGGTTGTACCTTTTTTTTATTAAGCCCTATCAGGAACGCGAGAATTATTTATGGATTCACAGAGACAAGAATATAGTGAAATATTTTAAATTTTGTTTAAAGACTTAACCTTTCTATTATGCCTATACTACGTTCCACGTTAAGAAAATAACATTGCGGAGATACGACCATGTATTTCTTATGGACGATAGAAACGCGGCGTTGCCACGACACACACAAGCACAATTTAGGGTTGTATAATTTGTATTTTCGTTTCCACAGACATAAATTAAATTAATGTTTTTTAACGTAATTGATAAAAGTGCCCATTCGAAACAAGAGATGAAAAGTAGGGAAAATGATTTTAATTAGATAAATAGTATTTAGGTACAAAAGATAATTTTATTTTATCTTATTTTAATTATAGTAACGACAGTTGATTTGTTTTTCGGTGAGAATACCATATACCATGAATTTTAGAAATCAGTATATCAAAATATTGCTTAGTTAAATCATGCATTTTGCCGCCTATTAAAGCTTTAAAAGCAAATAAACGGACCGCTTGAATGCGTATATCTAATTACTAATTGCAACTTAAAATAATACGATGTGCGTATGTCAGCTATTTTATGTCGTTCTCTGACTACATAATGATAATAAGGCTTTTATTTAGTAGTTATTCTGACTTTACAGTTAAATGTTAATTGAAAATGAAAATTCAAAAATTAAGCAAAGGGAATATCTTGGACATCCGTGCAAAAGAGAGTACTTGAGAGTTTTGGCAACACTGATCTCCATAAGCGTAATGTTATTTTCTTAACTTGAAACAAAGATTAGTTAATAAATAGATTTAACTATTCTATGTTGCCTAGTTAATAAATAACTACTATAATATTTTAAATGTAAACGAATTTCGAAATTTGGGAATAATATATAAATTCATTTGTTTCTATCAACCAATGCTTGATTTAAAAAGATAGAAAGTTTCTTTGTTTATAGTAATGTAATTATGAAATGGTATTTTAGTATCCTTTGGAAATAACAACTTTTATTAATTTTAATGTTTCTTTTTATTACTGAAAAATAAAGTGTAATTTCGCTGTAAATTTTTTTATATATCTTATTTTTTTTATCTTATTCTCGTCCCCTACGAGGATAAACAAGGGGTGGCGTCCAATGATAAATTATAATTTCAGTTATCTAATTGTGTTTGAAATTTTGACATACTACGTAGTTTTTTTGTGCAGTTGACCTTAACACACCTTTCTCTCCGACATGAGCTAACCTGACCTTGAATTAAATGTATGTACTCGATGTTATCAAAAATCGGCGTTACAGTATGGTATAAATTTGCACTTAACTTTTTTGCTCTTTAAGTTACCCGTATTTGTGACAAAAAAATATTAAAAGATGTATTATTTTAACAAAAAAAAAGGTATACCCATTAATAACTTCAAAATTTAACAGTTTTCGAGATAATCACATTTTACAAATCAGCTGCATAATATTGATTTTGACTCCAGGAAACGAAGGAAAAATAGACCATAACATCAGTACTTCTGAATTTTGGTATAAAATACCTTTAACTTAAGTTAACAAAATATGAAATAAAATAAATATATTAGCAGGATAATTAATAATAGGATTTCACAAAATGGCAGAATAATATGATTTTACATCAAACATTTTACGTTTTATATGAAAAGTTTTATTTGAGATTCTTATAGACACGTTGTTTTAATGCGCCCAATACACCAAAATCAAGCGGATTAATTTCTGGGTTAAGTGGTGGCTATAATATATAATGGATGAATATATTCTTTTGGATACATATGCAAATATGGTATATTACGGAACTAGGTACATCTTATTTTTCGCAGAGGTTGATTAAAGTATTAAATTGGGATGTATCTCCTTTATTGGTTACTTATATACACACAGAATAACGTATCGATGACATTACTTATTTATATGATTACGTTACAGCTTACGAGTAACTATAATTACATCTCGACAAAATGGACTATTGTGATTTACTAACGAACTAATATTATGTTGAACTAAATTGCCTGTGTGTTTACTATATTTTTAACAATATCGGTTATTAGGCCAACGATGATGTTACTGTAAAAATGCTGTGTCTTTAAAGGTTCGATTTGTAGCAAAAGTGTTATGAAACAAGACGCATATGTGTTATTCAATAATTGTGTTCTAGTTTTTAATTGTCCTAATAAAAATGGGTGAACAATTTACGTAATGAATAATAAGTATTCTTTTGTAATTTTTTATGAATTAAATAATTATATCAATATCTCACTACATTGCCAAGAAATATGACCACCACGACCAATCTAACGTTTAAAAAAGTTGTATTTAAATATGTCCTCACTGTCCTCTCTCTAGAGTGTTGTGGTGAACCGTGCATAAATCTCATATTTTGGGTTCTCAGCATTTTACAATAGAAAAATCAACGCCAGTATAGAAACTTAAGAAGCGATAGAAAAAGAAAATTGTAAACATAATTACGGCCAACGTCTGAATACGGAGCTCAAAAGCATCCAATTGTAAATTGTTGTCCATAAATATTTACAAACGTAAAAGTTATAGCGAAAAATAAATTTTAAATTTCCACTTTAAATCCCTGCATCTTTCTTAATATCAACATTTTATTAAAGCAAGTTTAAAGTACCTAAAGGTAAATCGTAATATTTTAAAGTACAGAATACACGGATTCTGTTTGTACAATTACTTAAGGACCACTCTGTATAAGATTTTTTTGCAAAAGAGCATTGGATTTTTATACGCATGATCCCGGGATAACATAAAAATTTTAATTATCTCTAACGTATTTTGGCACATCCATAGGCATAAGTAGGAAAGACGTGGTTGAACTTCAGATTAATGTATCCTAGCCTGGAAGCTAAGAATGTTTAATAGAAGAAAATCATTTTAGACAAAATTAAATTAAAACTAAAAAACAACTTTAACTAAAAATCTTTTTTTTTATTGTAGGTATGGTTCCAAAACCGTCGCGCCAAATTTCGAAGAAATGAGAGAAGTCACAACTTCCAACAAACCACTTCGACAAAGCTACCTAGCAAGGCATCTCCGGTTTCTTTAAAATCAGACTTATCCGAAAAAGCATTATTTCCATACCAAAATCCAGCGACAACAAGTCATTCTACAACACATCCACACCCAGATCTGCAATACGTAATGCCATGGAAGTGCTCTTACTCACAATATAACCAACATGATCTCTACACGAATAATTTTAACAACCTTCCGAGTCAAACTTGTAGTTTTTTATCAAATTCCCATTTTAATTATGGAAGTTTATCGTCTAATCCTATGTGCAATACTTTAAATATGTCGTCTCTGAGGTATAGACCACAAGACTTTAGTTTATAAATTTAAAATACAGTATAACTCTTACAGTTTACGTTAAGTGCAATGTAACAGTTAACTGTTAACAATTACCTCTTTCCAATTATTCGAAATGCAGAATAAAACTCACACGTTACATATTTTCTGAAATATCGTCAAAGATTTAGCGATTAATTGCACTTTTAAATATCACCGTAAAAGTTTACTCTTACCTGAGTTTTAATATAACAATCTTCGGTAAACTAAAATATACCTTTACCTTACCTGATACTTAAAATAGGGTGTAACAGTTAACAGTTGTCTATTATTTTTTTACATATTTTCTCAGATTCATCAATTAGAATGTATTATAAAATCAGCAGGTACTGGTTATCTTTTTATACTTTTAGCTAAATTGGTTATGTGAAATATTGTGTAACAGTTAAGATATGGTCAACTATTAACTGTTTCTGAAACGGGTGTTTTAACATTCACATGTTAAAAAAAACAAAAATGTCCCTCTAAGCTCAGACATATTTAAATTAAAATGTGTAATCTAATATAAAAGTTTGTTTTATAATATTAAGATATACTGTATACTGCGTGATAATGCCAAATCAAATTTAAAGTTCGATCAAGGGAAATAAAAAGTAGAAAGTACAATTAAGTTTATTTCTGTTCACCCAATTTAATGTAACACTCCTAGTTCTGCCTGTCCATGTTTATTGGAATCCATTACCGTGGAAAAAACTTTAAATATATGACAATGCGACGTAAATGGCCATAGTCTCGATGTTTTGTGACAATTATTTAAGATCCTTACCCCATTCCAGGGGACTGGAATGGGGGAATCAAAAGGGGTACTGACATGGATCTCCTGGAAAAACAAAACGCAAGAAGGTTCTTAAGCTATTTAAAAAATAAACGCCGCTTACAAGAATCTCCCTGCTGGATGAAAGAAAGGCTTTTCTTTCCTAAAAAGTATTAAAAAAGGTGTGAATCTTTTTAAAAGGAAATAACGACTTGGTTTAGCGAAAAAAATACATATTTATTGTTATCTTACTACAAATAGTTACAAATATAAATAATAATACAAAATAACAAAAACAAACTTACAATGTTGCCATCGGTTTACAACTCTAGAAGTTGGAGATACTATAAGAACTTACAATTATACAATTGTTAATGGGCGACATTTTGTGGCAGAAATAAATTATTACAAATGAAAAATACCTAAATATTTTTAAATGGAACTATGCATAGAAGGTAACCTTTTTAAAAGCAAATCAAATTCTGCACTTATGGATGGTATGTACCAAATGTCAAGAAAATAAACCTAGCTGTCATATGTCAATATTGAATTTTAAAACTCTATGAGAATAAATAATATGACACCTAGCCACTACCTAATATTGATAATTTTACTTAATACGGGAATATATATAATATATATATATATATATATATATATATATATATATATATATATATATATATATATATATATATATATATATATATATATATATATCTAATATATATAATATATATAATATTATTATTGATGGAAAATGTCTATTTTTACTTTAGAAGATTTAACAAAAATGTACCTGATTTTCACTAAATGTTGATATCTCCTTTAAAAGTTGTGGGGTTGGAACTGGACTCAAAATTCACTGCAACACAAACCTTGACGGATTATCTTGACGCAATCATCGAAACTTGGCTTTTTAAAAACTCAAGCTCTTGCTTGGAACCATGAAGGTATCTTTTAAAGTTGTCTGAAATGCCGTTTTACAGGTGTAAGACGGTGATACGAAGGTAAGAGATGATACGAAACCAAACAGTGATTACTCTGACAAAAATTATCACATTACATTCGAATGTAATACAATTTTTTTACAAACAAAATTTGCCAGTTACTTCAGGTTACCCACGTCGCGTCTTCTCTCTACAAAATCGTTTTCCAACCTTTAATTGTAACTACAAGTTGAATTGCTACAATACACTATATTTCTATTACAAAAACGAAAAAACCATTACGAATTAAAAAAAAAACGGACTCGAAACAATGAAGCGACCACTTCGGTAATCTATTGCATAAAAATCATTCGCCTAAATATTTCTGCTTACTTGATGTGCAAAATATTCTAAAGTGGCTCTTAATCAAAGAAATACCGAAGAAATACGCATCTGTAATATATAAACAAACTTTAAAATGTGTTTATTATTAACTTCAGCGATGCAAAAGGATTGAACATTCACAAGGAATCTACGTTCCTGTAGTTGGCTGTATACCATATATTAAAAAAATATATATTAAAATCCTTTGTAAAAGGTATATATTTAAAAACCCAATCAGGCTATGTTAGACAAAACGTTTTCGAAATCCATATTCCATCATCAGTGTCTAGGTATACATGAATGTAGCCACTAAATATGTGAGTAAAAAACCCGTTGAAAATTATTTAGTTAAATTTAGTTTACAGTATTTCTTATAAAATATTAAGATAAAGTTACCGTTAGATTTGGTAACATGACGACATATGACTCCACATGAAGTTGCTAGTCCTGAAACGGTGTGTCTACGAGGACTTTATGAAAGCAACTGATTCTTGAACTGATTCTAAACTGATTCAAAATTATTTTTTGGTGTTTTAACATATACGATGGGAAATAGAAATACATTGAAAATATTCTTCGGTATTTTAATACATAAAAGGTGATTTAAAATGCTACATAACAACTAATTATACATCATAACAGGTCAAGCAAAATTGCTACTTCCATCACAACATCACAGTGTTCGTCTTTTGACTCTTTTCAGTGGTTTTACATTCTAATAATTTATTGTCCGATTGCAGCCAACGTTAATCATTACTCAGAATGCAGCCAACATTAATCATAAATGGCATTACAGTAGTCACATTCTTATTAACCCTGATATCGAAGACTTGTAGCAAAAACAAGGAAGTATGAAATTTTTAAAAGCTGTCCGGTTCCTCAAATTACGGAGAAGGAAATTCGAGAAGCTTCATTTGGTAAGGGGATATGACTGCAAACCTAGCAAGCGATATTTTTGGGCCAGCCAGCCTGACATGCGAAATAAAGTAGTTTATAATGCCATGAGACGCGAAATATTCGCTCATATAATTGCGGTTTATACACTGCGCAGATTACTCTAAAGTAGATGTTAATGACAAACTCTTTAAACTAAGACCACAGACATAGGTGATTTTTAACTCCGACCGCTTACAAATATCTACTTCTTCTTTTTATGTAGACTTGACTCTTTTAAGTGTGCCTTCAGTAAGTTGTCGTTCCATCGTTTTTGTGGTCTTCCTACTGATCGTCTTTCAATTGGGGAACCGTGTCTTGCCGTCTTTACTACTCAATTTGTTGTCATTCGGCTTATATGATGGTTTCATTTCACTCTTTTATTCCTTACCTAGTCCTTGATGTTCTTCACCTTGCATTTATGTCATATAGCTGTAACTCTAGCTCTATCCCATAGTGTTTTACCATCAATTCTTTTGAGTCTTTTCATTTCTGCTGTTTCTAACATCCTTTATATTAAATTGGTACAGCATACGTTGTAAACCATCTTTACTTTGATAGAGTAGTATTGCGTCGTCTGCATTGCAGATTATTTCAAGTTGTTTTTCTCCCATTTGGTATCCTTGTTAGTGTTATATATGAGTCCGGCAGCGGAATAAGTGACACTGTGGAAAAGACTAGGGATCGATAGTGAAGTTAGGGGGTGGAAGGCCGTGGGTCTACGGAGCCATCCATAATGTATGTTTGTAACCAATGTATCTTTTAATAAATAGTTTTGTACCAATAGTCGGTGCCTCATTAAATACATAACATATTTGGCGACGAGTCACAGAAAGAATCCACGCAAAAGTCGAAAAATGCCGTTAATTGGATACATTGAGCAGTTCAATCCTGCGAAAAGTGATATCACCTCTTATATAGAGAGACTTGAGCAGTTGTTTATATGTAATGTAGTGGAAAAAGACAAGGAAGTTCCATTATTGATTTCTTTAATTGGCGGAGAGACTTACAGTGTCTTAAAAGACTTATTAGCACCAGAAGTACCAAGTTAAAAACATTTGAGGAGTTAAAAAGAGTTCTGATTGAACATTATAGTCCAAAGCGGTTAGTTATCGCTGAAAGGTATAAATTTTACAATACAAATCAAGAGCCTCAGGAGGATATTAAAAGTTTTGTGTCAAAACTGAAAAGTGTTGCTCAATATTGTAAATTTGGGCAATTTTTAAAAGAATGTCTCAGAGACAGGTTTGTATGTGGTGTACGATCAGTCCAAATAAGACGTAAACTCCTGGCGGAAGACAACATTTCCTTTGAAAGAGCTTATGAGATAGCCTTATCAATAGAACTTACAGAAAGTCAAGTTAGAAGGGTGGAACAAGAAAATGTAACGGCAATAGAAGGGAAGTTAAATAAAGTAATGTTTAGAAAGAGGGAAGCTACAGTGAAGAAAGATGATGGCCATCAAACTGGTAGAAGTAATGTCCAACCTAAGTCATGCTTTAGATGTGGTAGAAAACATGACTCATCAAAATGTCCAGCCAAAGCATAGCAATGTTTCAGTTGTAAGAAAGTGGGACATACAAGTGCAGTATGTCGTTCGAAAGTTAGTTTGTTCGAAGAAGATGATATACAGGATGAAATTGAGGAGGAAAATTCATTATTTCTAGGTTTCTTGTCTTCATTGGAAGCTAAAAATTCAGCTCCAGAGAAAATAGTATTAGAAGTAGAAGGCAATTCAATTTTATTTGACATTGATATAGGTGCATGTCGTACAGTAATTCATATAAAGGACTTTAAAAAGTTTTTATCAGCTTTAAATATTTATTCTGTTAAGTATTGTTTAAAGGTATTAACTGGCGAGGGAGTAAAAATTGTGGGAGAAACTGATGTATTAGTAAAATACAAAAACAATACCATAAAATTACCTATTGTCATTTTAGAAAGTAAACATAATTTTACTCCACTGTTGGGTAGGAATTGGTTAAATGTATTGCATCCTAATTGAAGACAAATAGTTAACTGTTCACATAATGAATTTGTTAGTCAGCTGGAATTGAAAAACCTTGAAACTTCAAGTTTAATTTCGCAATTAAAAAGGGAATTTAAATCAGATTTTGATGAGAATAAAAATTCATTCATTAAGAGTTTTGAAATTGATTTAAATTTAAAAGAAAGTGCGCAACCCATTTTTCAGAGGGTCTATGATATGCTATTTGCCCTAAAAGATAAAGTTGAATTGGAAATAAAAAACTAATGGTGTTAGGAATTTTAGAAAAAGTCAGTTACAGTAACTGGGCTAGTCCCATAGTAGTAGTTCCAAAAAAATTATCTGAGGAACTAAGAATTTGTGTAGATTTTAAAAAAACATTAAACAAAGTCTTAGTTAGATAGTGATCATTGCACATTACCATTACCAGAAAATATCTTCGCATGTCTAAGCAGACATAAGTAAATACTTTACGGTTTTAGATTTAAAAAGTGCTTATCAACAGCTAAAGGTCAGTAAAAATACACAAAAAATGTTAGTAATAAACACCCATATAGGTTTGTTTGCCTTCACTAGACTAACTTATGGTATCAGC